AGTAGTAGTAGTAGTAGTAGTAGTAGTAGTAGTAGTAGTAGTAGTAGTAGTAGTAGTAGTAGTAGTAGTAGTAGGGCCAGGAGCCCCTAGTACCTAGTAGCGTTCTTGCTCCTAGTAGCGATGCCCTTTGCTCCTAGCAGCGAATGAGAATGAGAGAATCTGGTTAAACCATGTTCGGTTCAGGAAGCTCGTATTTCTGGGAGCTTTGGTTTGGGGGTTTCGCTCTGGTTGTTTCCGGAGGTGGAGTTGTTCCAGTTCAACTTACCCCTCAATTCGCAGAGCCAGGTATGTAAGGGCAAGGACGAATCTATAGCATGCGAGGAGGCAGCCTTTTGTTTGGTACTTGGGGACATACGAACAACGAGATTCGTCTGGATGTGGACTTGACTCCTCGTATCTCTGCTTCATACCGTCTAAAACGGTGTGAATATTTGTTTGTAGTTCGACGATGTTCGACGGAAGGTCTTCACAGGTCACCCTGATTGGACCCTATGTCTCGGTTATCACCCGTCGTTTCAGGATATCTTTTGTAAAGAATTTGGGTCTTTACACGATACATCACCATGGCGTGTTTTCCGCCCCAAACATCTTCGCCCAAACGGAACATGTGAGGTCCGGGATGTGGAGGAAACAAGAGACTGTGCACCACCCGAGTCGAGAAAACCTTGAGGCTTACCCATCCGAACCGCTGCCGACTCCCGCTGCCGACTCCCGTAGACCCGGCGCCTCAAACACTCCAGCATCTGCAGGCGATGGACCTCTCCGAAGGTCCGTAAATGCGCCACCTGCCGAGGACGGCACTGATGCGTCTGAATCCCGGTCGCGGTGGGTTGGGAGACGCTTCTCTTTTCGGGTGAGGGAGCCTTCCAAACTCTGGCAATGTCAGCTTCTTCAGGTACAAAAAAGAAGAAATGCGCATACAATGTCAGCTGTTAGCTGGAAGAATGGGGTCATATGTGAAACACACGCGGGGTATCAGGTATCAATCATCTTCTCTCCTTCCTCTTTCATTCTGCCTACCTGCTGAGACCACCACCAGAGTGACATGCCTCGCCTGTGCATTAATCACTTGGTCCAAAGCGTCTGAAATGAAGAGCTTGTCCTGTGCGTAGGACACACAACCCGAAGCTGATTGAATGATTGCTGACAGCGAGTGCGCTGTTAGTTTATCAAGTGCGGCCAGGTGTGACCTGCCCAGCATAAAAAACTGTCCATGCAACATAATCCCAGACTATTTGGGGAGGGGATAGCCTGTGGTCCCAAGAGAAAGGATCGGTGGGGCCATTTGGCACCACCCTGTTGGAAACAACTAACCAGCCACACCACAAGTAACTGACAGGAGGATAGAACCCCGCAAGCAGCTCTGGCCTACTTACAACGATCTTCCCAGGAACATAAGGCTGTTTGCGGTTTCAGTTGCGGAAAACAACTTGCCATCTATCCACCACTCACCAACTACAAATGATGAACTTTGAACCAATTTCGAAAATGCAACTCATCTCAAAAACACCGTTGGCATCACCAGTAGGGCCTATAGGGCCAACCCGTAACAACCAAAAACACACTGCAGCAAGGGATGTACTGGAAGGTCCACGTGTGGAGAACATTGTGAATATGACGCATGACATCCGGCACCACCATTATTCCAAAAGTGTGTTGACTTTTGGTGACACGGTGATGCAGCAGGCGCCCGTTTGCTGCATGTTTTGTTTTGCAATGAAACATGTCAGTGTTTCAAGATGCATCTTTCTCTCAGGCTGAGGAAATCATAATTAAGTGGTATGTATGAGGTCAGTCCACTGGCAGTCCACTCGTTTTACAGTCCTATACACAGCCTGCCCTGTCCAAGAGCCCCCTCCCAGGCTTTGACTTGCAAACCTCAGGTTACTTGGTGGAGCGGTCCTCTTCCTTGGTAAATTCCGCCAAGCAAGGCGCAAAGTGCAGAAAAATCCGTGGAGAAACCTTCTTCACCTTAAGAGAGCAAGGCTGGGCTGATGTTCATCCGAAACGTTGCACCAGGATGGCAAGTGAATTTCACAGAGAGTCTCGACAAATAACAAGAAATATATATTGTATATATATATATATATGTGTATACATAAGTATATATTTATACTATATTCATTCGCCTGTGAGTTTGCCAAGTGACGTTATGTTAAGCATTTTGTAGTTATAAATAAGTGGTTCCCAGAGGTCTACTTTCACAAACTCGTAATCCAAACTAAAAAACAAAGTCTCTACAAAATGCCCACGCACAACGGCATTTTGGACAGGGACACCCTCTACAAAATGAGAAGGTTCTGGAAAGGGATAGATACAGCATAAGAGAAAAAAGGGCTACATAAATGCAGAATCTGTGCTTGATGCATTCTGTAAAAGGCACCACTTTTGCAAGTCAGGTGGGGTGCAACTTGGCAAAATAAAACAGCCTTTTTCATCGTCTGCTTGGAGTCAAGTCTGTTTCGCGGTCTTCGGCACACATCATCAAACATCTGCACACAATCAACCCTTGCAGTTTTTCCCTCATGTTTTTTGTAATTGTGGTTTTCCGGTCAGTCTATTTGTTCACCATCTTTGACATAGGAGCCAAGACACAACAAACGTGACATTAGAGGTCCGTCCTTCCCCCTGCATCCCTCAGGGTGGGCACAGCTTTCTCTACAAGGTGCCAGTTTTTCTACAAGATACAAGCCGGCGAGGTTAAAACCACATCAAATGACAATGACCATGTTACTTTAGAGTATTCTAGAATCACAAACCTGCAAATCAGCATCTTCCAGAAGCTCCGAAGCGTCTCCTCTACGACATGCTAAACCTGGGAATGTAAGACAGGTGCCTTGTATCAGTACCCAACCCGTGGCATTGTGTACAGGATACAGGCAGGAGGATCTATAATATATTCGACAAACAGGTACGCTGTGGAGGCTCCACTTTTACGATGTTTCGAGGCGGTCAATGAATAACAGAAGCTGTCGGTCAAACACTTCTTACTTGATTTTATGCAATGAGGGATAGCCAGCCGGACAATGCCTCAAAATATTTTTGAAAGCTTCAGATCCCACCGCTCAATGGCTCAGGTTGAGTCTAAATGCGGGCCTCTAAGCCTTGGAGATGGTTTCCATGGATCTTAGGGGGGCCGCCCCCGTGCCTTCGACGCTTGGCGCCCACTTAGCGGATCCATTCTATATGCAGGGTGTGCTTGCAACAAGTGAACGCTGCGGGGAAATGCGCAGGACACATCACAGTAAGCTCAGCTGATTGGCTGGCTCAGCACAAGGAGCGGGTGCAACAAACTATTTTGAAAGCTATCTTTCTGCCAATCTCGTGCAGGATGTGTTTGAAAGCTGACATGCTGGAAATGTATTTCTTCGGCGCACTGTGGGTACGCAGTGGCTGCACTCACAATGGACGCCCGCCGCATTGGTTACTTGCGGTGGTTCCGTAGTGTCTATGCCTTGAACACATCCTTGCTGGGAAGACAATATGTGGCTCTGCATCAGTACCACAGGCGCTGTACATACTTGAAGATCCCTTCAGACATGTGCTTGCCGTCCACAATCGCCTCATCACGGCGCTTGCCCTTCTTAGGGCTCATCTTCACGGCCACCACCGGGGCTCCCACCTAACCACTCGCCACCGGTGATATCCCAGCCACCACTGTGACACCAGCACGAGTTCTGGCCTGAGCCTGAAAGGTAGGTGAGCTACGTAAGAACGGCATCTATGTTCAAAAAGTGCCTCAGGACATGCATAGAGCTCCCCCTAACTCTGTTACAGTAGGGGTACACATGCAACCATGTATTAAACATGTCCAAAAACATCGTAAAAATGGGGCCTCCACAGCGTACTACTCTCATATTTTATTTAATATATTCAGCAAAAAGTATATCCTATATCATTCAAAAAGAACATCTTTATTCCAAGTCCTCTCCACAACCTGACTCCGACTCGTTCTTTGGGGGGTCCAATGTGGAGAATCAGGAGCCGAGCCACTGATCCCAGGCCTTGGACCATGATCACCGGCGCCCTGGCCCGATGATCATAAGCTCGGATCGAACTGGGAAGGACCCCTAGCTTCTAGCTACTAGTAGTAATGCTCTTGTTACTAGTAGCGATGCACACGTTAAATCTTGTTACTAGTAGCTTCTTGTGAGTGGCAAGAAAGAAGGAAAGACATCCTTGCTGGGAAGACCAGGCATCCCCCCAAACAGTTTCTTGGGTGGTGTAGAATTTGGTATTACACACACTTGCGAAGATCGAAAGTCCGAAGTCACGCACTGACAAATCAAGCCAGGTGAAACGGTGTTCCCGGTGTTCCCACGTGCAAGCACCATCACTTAACGTAGAAATATATGGTTGAGGAGTAAAGAAAACATGTTTCTCCTGACATCTGGGGCTAAGAAAGTGCCAAGTCTACGTCTAGCACACTGCAATCACAAACATATTGTTGGTTCCCGTATGCCACTGTAGCAAGCCCAAGCCGTGCAGCTCAAACTGGATTCCTTCACCATCTGTGATCCCTCCGCTTGATTTTCCAAAGGATATATAGCTACGTCACTACCACGTGGATGAGTGATTACAACCCTCCCCATTAATCGGCCTTTACAAAGGTTTGGATCCTTGCATCTCAATAGGTGCGTTCGATGTTGCAATTTCCATACGACGACAACGACTTATTTTATTTTGGTTTTAAACATATTTCTTATTTAGGGCTCAACTCGCACCATTAGCGGTGCGTACATTGGGCCCCAGAACCCTCTTTTGGGTTCGATTTTACCGGCGTCTTTACGCGCGTTGCGGATAGCCATAGTGGTTTGCTGCTTGGTGGTGGGGTTGGCAGCGGCGACTTTGCGCTGAATCGCAACTATATCAAGAGAAAAAAGCCCCAGCTGGCACCGGCGCCTACGCTCTCGCAGAGCAAAGGCAAGAGGACTAGTTCGGCAGGCCAAGAAGACAACCCACCTGTCTAAGGACCTTCAAGGACGGCTCGTGAGGGCTCGACGCATTTTGCAGGAGCACCACAGTTTCGTTCGACCCATGGGATGGGGAGGTCAATACAAAGGAGCTCAAGGGAAGCCATGGTGGAGCAAATGGCAGCAGCAAGGGCAGCCGAAAGGCCCGAAGCCCAAAAAGGAAGCGAAGACAGACAAGAGTGCAAAGAAGAACGAAAGGGCAGAGGATGCCTTTCCGGCTTACGAGTCTTTGCAGTCATCCTCGTCTTCCTCTGCAGCCAAGGAATCCAAGGAAGTCCAGGAGATCAAAAAGGAAATGCGAGAATTCCTTGCGGCAAAGGACATCCCGGTGGATCCACACATTGTGGAACTACTACACAGCGACTCCAACACCATGGAAGAGATCAAGTCAGAACAGAGGAGCTTGAATCTCAAAAAGAAGATCATTGGGAGGATCGAAAAGTTGAAACAGAAGGTAGCCGAGAAGAAGGAGGCGTGGAGCATTTTTCTGGATGCAATGGAGGCTCATCGAAAGAAGGAGAAGGAGAAGCACGCTTCAGACTTGCTAGCTCTGGAAGACGCTCTCTCAGAAGCCCAGAAAGAGCTCAACAAAGTTGTGATGAAAGAAACAGATGGAGGAGACAACATGGCAGTCGAGGATGCGGAGAAAGAAGCACTGAAGAGGGAGCTCGAGCGTACTCACGCTATCATGAGAAATCTTCAGCAGCGGGTCGACAGCTATGTTGGGGCAATGGAGATGACAAGGCCGGAAGGAATGGCGAACGACCTTTCGCCTCAGCTGACGCGGCCTCCGCAAACAGCGTTGGTGAGAACTCCCCCAGACGAAGTGGCCGCCAGAGCAGCTCGCGCCAAGTTGTTGACGGCAGCCGAGAAAGCGGTGTTGGAACAAACCATTCCTGTTCCTGTTCGCTCAAGGAGCACATCACGGAGTCCCCGAAGAGAGCCCTCCAACTCTTTGGAGAGGCTCGACAGGTGAGAAGCCAAGCTTATAAGCCTCCTTCCGAACATAGTGGAGGCGAGAAGTCCGTTGGGTACGGATCCGATCATGGTTTGATGCAATATGAACTTCTCCCTGAGGGTGCGTTCGGCGCCAATTTTCAAGGGGCGACATGCAAGGCGCCAATTTTCAAGGGTGCGTTCGGCGCCAATTTTCAAGGGTGCGTTCGGCGCCAATTTTCAGGGTGCGTTCGGAGCCAATTTTAGACAAATCGACTAATGTATGCCGCGACGAGTCTGAGCAAGATGAGGAGGAAGTGCCATCGGCATCAGATGCAGAGATTTCAATGGAGGAGAACCCTGAGGTGATGCAGGAAGTATATAGGTTGGACCGGGATAACACTGCAACCCAGGACACCAACCAGAGCCAGCATGAGCATTTCGAATCAGATGGAGGCATTTTTCTACAAAACACAGTCAAGGGGTGCACTGATGATGAAGGAGCGACGAGATCCAGGACACCAGCACTCACTGAGACCAGTCATGAGGTCGCAGTAAAAGATGAGCATGACGAAGCAGGGCTATTCGAGATCGCCGAAGAGAGTAGGGTTGACTTGGCAATCACCAGGAGTGATCGAGCTCTGTTCGCACACGCACGGGATAACACTGCAACCCGGACTGTGTCAAACAGGTGGGGCGAGGACTTTGATGAAGCTTTCTTCATGCAGAATGAGGAGCGGCTCTACATGGATGACGGCACTAGTTTGCGATCCCCCGACAGACTCCAACGCTGTGTCCAGGAAGAGCTTGCTTGGGTCGAACCACTCCGACTGCGACCAGACGAAATGCAGAAATGTTGGGATTTCCCTGGTGTTGACTATCTTAAGCACCATTTTTCAAAGCATGGACTTGCTTCGGCTAGTTTTCGCATCGAGGGATGGCTCTTCAGAGATTATAATCAGCAGGAGGGCTCTGGATTTGCTTGGGGCATCTCAGCAGGCAGGCCATGGCATGAGCAGGCTTCTCACCTTCTCAAGGGGAGTGGTCTGAAAGAAGGGCTTTCGTTCACAGTGATTCCTCAGCCCAAGGATTTGTCACTAGATAGTAAGGATCCTGCAACAATGCAACTAATTGTGCCGTTCCGCTTCGAGATGCCGCCGGTTCTGCCGTTGGTTGTAGAGTATGCCCTTGACGCACCTATGACACGTAGGGCTGTTCTTTGCCAGAAACCGTGCACTGCCTTTTCAGTCTTTCTCTTGACCGGGCTACAGTCTTGGTGTGACAAAGACCACCACTGCGGCGTCTTCTTTCGACATGGCTTGTGCAGCATGTACTTCCAGGATGTTGAGATCCTGCGTGTTCCAGCAGCTTCTCGAGTTGTACTATCAGTCACCAATAAGTACTCACGGAGATGCATGCAACAAGACAGTATGAGCCATGTGCACAGGACTGCCATGCAGATTGCGAATAGGCTACACATCCCTGGTACACCTGACCATCACCTAGCCTTCAAGAGGGTTAGAGAAGTCTTGTTGTCACAGCCGTCGGAATCAGAAATGGAGGTGGATGTCGCTAGCATGGTGCAAAGCCTCTCCAAAACGGAAGCTCCCAGTGATGAAGTTTCATACATGCAGAGACCATGTCATCCGACGCCATCTGTGAGAACTGCCGGTTCAAGCAGCTCTGATCCTACGTGTGACTCTATCCCGGCGGGATCGGAAGCTGTCTCTAGTCTGAGCAGCCAGCCACCACCAATGGGTTGGCAGCCGAATCGTGAATATGATTGGCTTCCATCATGGCAGTATGTGCGTCGTCACTTGACGAGTTACTCATCGGCGGCAGGCAGAAGGATGATGGCGGGGGAGTTATGCATGCACTTGATTGTCTGCAGGCAGGGCATGACCAGTCACCACGGCCTGGCATGTCCGGAGCGCCTTCTGACAGCAGAGTGCCCCATTGATCACCTGATTAGGTATATACAACATTTTGCTTTCCCGTTCGATTTGCGGTATACTCGAGCCTTTCCACTGACGGTGGAAGTCTATCAGAACATCCCATCAGTTATAGTCATCGATGTTTTGCCGCCGGACAGGAGGCCGATTATTGCACAAGTGTTGCGGGAGGGACAGGTTGCGTTGTTCACATACCCTGCAGCACCCATTGAGCGAGTTGCAGCCATCTTACAATGGTTGAACCGGCAAATAATCATCCTCACACCTTTCGAAACGTTTCTGAATAGGCAGAGAGTGTATGGTCAGGATGATGTTCCCCTATATGCTGGGGATGTCCTTCGAGTTCGCGTTCGAACCAGGAGGGAGCTCAACTGGCCTGTCAACTCTACTGAAGAGCCAGCAGAAAGTCTGCAGTTTTCTTCCCATAACACATGGTCCCTGGAAACGGGATTAGAGTTAGGTGGAGATAATATTCAAGAGACAGGTCCACAGGACAGTGACCAAGAACATACTCTTCAACAAGTACTGGGGAACAATCGTTTACGAGATGTGCCACCGTCATCGACTGGTGATGGTACGGAGGAACACGAAGAGGCCGCGTTCCTCCAAAGCACTAGCGTTGCTATCCTCCTCACACAGGCCGCTGCTAGGCATGACATCTCTAATCAGCCGATGCCAGACTTTGCAGCACAGGTTCAGGAGTTGTCATGGTTCCCTGACCATGACCACGACTGGATAGGCACAGTGGTAAGAAGGAGTATGACCACACAACTGTGGGATTTCGGTGAACATGTTCTTGTCCTCAGACCGTTTGAACCCTTAGTCAGTGTTCAATTGGAGGTGAGAGCTAGCTGGGAGCTAGCTGGGATCACCCAAGTGTGTTCGACCTAACTGGACTGATCTGGACTGTCTGGCCTGACCTCAACTATATTCGTTTCAGACTAGTTGAGGTCACGAGCGCATTCCAAGTAGGGCAATACCCAGGCTTGGTCACCTTGTTAGTGAGGCCTCACAGATGGGGACAGGGTACCGATGTTCAAGTCATTAATGTAGAGGTTGTGAGGGTCCAGTGGCAGAGTCTGATTTCTAGGCAGACGGCACATCTAATCCAGTCAGTTATCACACCAAGACAACTGGCAGAACAAATTCGGGTGCGTGATTGTACT